GCCTGGCCCCGGCCATGTCGTGCATCCACTACAAGTTCTCCTCCAAGCTGGACTATGATACGGTCGCCTTCACTGGCCTCCACATCTCCCTGCATGACCTCAAGCGTTGTATCATGGGCCGTGAGAAGCTGAAGGCGGCCAACTGTGACCTGCAGATCATCAATGCCCAGACCAAAGAAGGTGTGTGGGGGCGGTGGGCGTGGGGCCTCGGGGGCCGCCCGGCCGGCAGTGTCACAAACCCCCCACAGCAGCTGTGGCCTGTGGGAGCCGCGCTGTGCAATTCGTGGTGGTCCCCACGTAGCAAGGCAGCCTGGGGCCCATCTTGCCGGCCTGTGGGGAGGACCAGGAGGGCAAGCGGCGGCAGGGATGACGCGGGCTGGGAAGCCATAATGCGATTCAGCCACGGTGGGTGGCTATGACTTGTGTCCGGGGCTTCACAGAGCTGTGCTTTTGTAGCTGCTGCCCCAACAACTTCCTTCAGATCTGTGTTTTAGATGTAGAGCTAGGTGCAGAAGAATACATGGTGGTTGTGCAACACATAGTGCTTACAAAAGTTTTGGTTTCCTGGAATTCTTCTAGGTAAAATGATAGGGAGATGTGGGAGGATATCTTGTAATAACAAACTTGCTGGAGTTCTTTGAGATCTGTCAGAGGAAACTTGAATTGACAGAAATGGAACAGATGGCTAATTTGAAGGAAAAACGTGGGTTTGGTGACTTGGTTTTGTCTTGTCTTACTGCACTGCATTGGAAAACTGTTTTTGTGGCTGCTGCAGACAAGTTGCAAATGTTGCAACAGTTTGGATCACAGTGTGCTTGTGAGTCACAGCCCCTGCAGACCCTTTAAAGTCATCTTGCACAGGAGTGTTCTCTGTCTGAATCATACTTTGGAATTTCTTGCTAGTATATCTTCTTTTCTACACCAAAGACACTGTCATTCAGATGCTACTGAGCATTATTTAATGATTCGTTTCTAACCAGGTTTTTTTTTCCTGGCACTGCCTGTGAACTATGTCAGGGCAGCACTGGAGTTTTATGCCAGAACATTTATGGTGAATATAAGCAAGAAATGTTCCTAGAGAAGTTATAAATTCTTTTAAATCTAATTTAAACTTTCCTCCTTTTACTTTGATCTGAATTTCCTGACCTGTATTTTATAATAGATGCTCTCACAATTTTGTGGAAGAATGGCAAACTCCAGAACTCAGGTTTCTTGAGTACTCTTTCCTGCCCCGTAACATTCTGACTCAAAATGCTTGGAGAATGTGTATTGTGCTTATCAGGCAAAATGCAAAAAAATATAAAACCGAAAATGGGACTCTGAACTGGTCTTAGATTAATGGATTTAAGGAGGAATAGTGCTCCTTGAAGACTGTCTCTTGAACTCAGAACTTGCTTGAGCTCAGTGTTGGAGCATACACTTGACAGTTTTAGTAGTGCCACAGCGTGGTGTCTTCAAAACAAACTCACGCTGACTCTGAATGAAATTATTTGGCCTCAGATTTTCAGAATTATAGATTAATTTTAAAGTGGGATTTTTAAATTGTGCATTACATGTGAAGCAGTATAAACTTCAGAGCATCGCCTGAGCTGTTTGTAGTTTTTTGCTTGAAGAAGGTCATGGACACTAATGCAATTGTTGATTTAAGATTTCTAAGTCAGTGTGAGGCAGCAAAGTAGCTATTGTTTAACTTGTCTGCCTTCATTCATTCATAGAAAAACTTCTTCCCCTTTACTCTTCAAGCAGACTGTTTCTTTGCAGAACAGATAGTAAGTTTTAGACTGTTGTGTCCCTTCTGCTCTTGACTTTAACAAAAGATCCAAACCTTCCTTAGCTTTTGACAGCTTTCTGAGTTAATTGAATCCTTATTTTTAATCACAGGTCAGACTGACAAAACCCCAGTAGCTGCTTACTGGCCATCACTGGCAGTGAAACAAGTTTTGTGCTAGGAGGGAGTAGGAGTCAACAGCGTCATTACCTCCAGCTTTGTTGAACATTTCTACAGGAGCTCTGCTTGGACAAGTGTGAGAAGTGGCCTTGTGGAGCATGGTGTCCCTGCTCACTTTGCAGATGTGGAGTCCTATGGTGAGCCAGAGTGGCACTGCTTTGCAGGTCCTGCTAGTTGCCAAGTCTCTCCTGGGGGATGTTGCTGCCCGCAGGGAGCAGGTTCCTGCTGGGAAGTGCTGCTTTAGTCTGAGAGCTGTTAGACTAAGCTGGTACCCGTTAAATTCAAATTGAGTAAACAAGAATTCCCAGGGGCTTCAGGAACAGTGCTCCAGCTTTAGTCCCATTTACGGACCTCTGCAGGCTTGGATAATTTGCGAATATATGCATCGGTTGCTGTCCTCATATATACAGTCTCTTACTAGGAGAGGTGCTGCTACTTGTCATCTTCTGCAGAACTGCCACAACCCTCCGTTTGGCCCAGGCACAGCAAACTCCTGCCTTCTTGTGGAGCCACTGTTGCTTATCCTATACCTGTGAATCTCAGTCCAGTGGTTTGTGATCTTGACCAGAAAGTATACTCTGCATTACTCCGTTCAGGAGGGAGAAACAGCTGCTTTCAGCTTCTAGAACCGCAGCTGGCATGATCTCCCAGTTGTTTGTCTGGGTCTCAGTTCTGTTTGAGCTCCTTCTCCTTCAAAAAGTCCCAGTGCAGGCCTTTCTTGGCAGGTGGCTGTGTAATGGTTAGGTTTGCCTTTGGAGAAGAGCTCTGGGGTTGGTTTCAGGATATGACTTATGTAAAAGCTTCTCTTTTCGTCATTAGTAGTCCTTTCTCCTGCAATTTGAAACTGCTCTGAAGTCTGGAGGAAGCTTGCTGTTGGGTTCCCTAGGGGGGAGGATCAGGAATTAGTTTCAGGCAAATGATTTCTCCATTTTCTGAAGCAGCATTCTGTCATTTGTAAATAGAAGTAAATTTTTCATTTTATGTTGGAATAATGTCTTCTGTTAGGTGTGTTTTGGTCTAGAAGAGCTTTCTGCCCATAGGAATCATATACTGAAAAATGGAGTATAAATTGTGAAATATTCCTATTTTCTGTGATCACTGAGCAAAAACAGAGCTTGACTAGGTGCACAGCATCTTTGGTTTTCAGACCGTTGTTCTGATGCAGTCTGCAAAGGTAAGGACTTTTAATATTTAAACCTGCAGGCAGATCACAGGGCTGCTGGTGGTGTTTTAAAATACTTAGTCATATCCAGCTTGTGGAAGTACAAGACAAAAACCATTCTCATGGGGAGATCTTTGCATTTTAAGCTTACTCAAAGTGTCTCGGGTAATTAGGGTTTTTGTCTGCGCCTTATGTAAAAGGCCAGAAGGCTTTCCTCCTTTTCCAGAGTCTAAATGAAAAAGATTTTGCTGCTTGTGTTTGATTATCAAACCTGAAGATTTCTTGAAATGCCCTGTTAGTGTGTTGAGAAGATAAAAGTGTGCTGTTACATATAAAATTTTGCTCTTCTGTCTGTAAAGGGATTCTCTGAAGTGCTGTCTAATTACATATTCATATACATTCTTATTGAATTGACTCATGTTCTTTTTCTGTATTTATGTTGCTTTCAGAATACACAAATGATAATGCCCTGATTCCTAAGAACTCCTCGGTAATAGTTAGAAGAATACCAGTTGGAGGAGTTAAAGCTACCAGCAAAACATGTGTTATGTAAGTATCCAGAAAGCATTGTGTTCTTTGTGAGGGGTTTCAGCGTGTCAACTTTTTAAATTGGTATAAGTTTACAGAGGCATTCAGATTGCACCTTTTTATTAAAGCTGCTGTTGATTTTTGTGGTCATGGGGGAGATTGTAATGGATCTGTCCCAAAGCAGACTTACATTTTTAGGCCTGCTGGGACATGGGGTTCCAACTCCAACAGTGGTGACTTTTAAGATTATTCTGTTGGGTTTGTTCTTGGGGTTGATTGTTCTGAGTAGATCATGAGTTGTAGATCATGTTTCCTCTACGTGGAGAGATTCCTCATTCTGTGTGTTTGCTTTTCTTGCTTTTATAGTAAAGACAGATACACATTGTAGTGCAAACTTATAATTTGTTCCCATCTCAGAAGAGTCTGATTCTTGGTGTTGGACTATTCCTTGCATTTGGGGGAGGAGGGATTGGGATACAGCAGGTACTCTTACACCGCAAATCTGGGTTTTCTTACTTACTAGCTCTAAAGGAAGGACCAAGGGTTGCCAGCTGGCAAACCATGAAAACAAGAAGTTTAATTTCTAAGTGATTCCTATCAGTTTCCTGAAGACAATGTCCATTTGGGCAAGAGAAAAAGACCAGTATCCTACAGTGTATTGCCTTTTGTGCGAGTACAGTGAAGGAATAGTCCGTTCTTTCCAAACTTGAAACTCAGGAGGCAGTTTAGCATGTTACCAAATGTTACTCATTATCTTTCTAAGTCTGTTTTTACTCTAAGCTGATACCTGTGCTCCAGGTTTTAATTCTGTATTCCTAAGGTTTATGGAGAACAGAGAACTGGGTGTACTGATGAAAATTACAGATATTCAAATGCCATCCTGACTACAGGATTGTTGCTGTCATTTCTGTATTCATACAGTCCAGTTCTGTGTCAGCTACGTTAGCATTGTTGGACTGGTCGTGTTTTCCGTTTTCTTAAAGATGTGCTGCTCCAACACAATTAGTAGATATTATTAGCTTGTGGTTTTGCCATGTCTTTCTAATGTTGGTCTCAATAAATAAAGTTGAGTGATGGGTTACAGTCTTTCTCGAACAAGTAGTACAGCAGCATCCTGGTACCCCTGGAGCATTTGCAAGCAAAACCCCCCGAATTTATGTGGCTCTGCATGTGAACTTTGGGCATATTACTGCAGTAGTTGTTGCAGTGCTTTCAGGCACTCCCCAGTAATTCTGGATGCCACAGCATTGTGCTTACAAACATGGCCTTGTTTTGGGAGTTAATTTAAATATGCATGCTTAGTGCTGTCTGGTCAATGCATCCTCCATTTCTGGTTGGACAGCACCCTCTCCTGGTATTGTAGTGCTGCCCTAAAATGAGAGGATAGATGCTGCTAGCATCCAAGGTCAAATCAATTACATGTATGTGGGGACGAGGACAGAACGGCACTGCTGTTCTAGTGCTCAAAATCAACCAGGCAGATGAGCTTCCTTTTGCTTCAGCTGGAAGCACTGCAGAAACCACTGGTAGAGTGGTTAGTGTTTGGGAATGATGAATGTACATGCTGTAATGTTGGAGGGGCCTTCAAAAATGTGTTACTCACCTTGTAGTGTGTTCTTCAAGGTAAATGGATGAAGAAACCATGGGGTGGTAATCTAAAGTATTTCCCTATGCTTCCTCCTCTTCAGGAGGTACGCAGCTGTAATTGCAGCCTGGGGGTGTCCTAGCAGCGGTGGGAAGCACGAACCTTTCTATTTGTACATCAGTTCCACAATAGCCTTTGGATTGCCTCTGCTCGCAGGACACTTTGGATGATGTATGAATTGTTTGTTAACTGTATCAATGGTTGCATGTCTGATTGATGATGAGTAGCATGCAGATGCAGATAAGTGAGTATGTGGAATCTCAGCAAGTTTTCAAGTGTAATAAATATTTCCTAAAATATTGCAGCATTTTCAAGATTGTCTTAAAGCAAATTCAGGCAATTAAGACTTTTTTTTTTTTTTCCACAGGGCTCCTATATCACACAAAACCCTAGGAAGTGCTTTCAGGTGACATTTTTGTACTAGTTTTAGTCAGTATAGCATACGTAACATGTAGTATTTTGGCACTTGCTTGGCTAAAGATGGTATATATCTGAACACAGTGCTTGGGCTTCCACAAAGAAACACTGCTCTAAAGACTATGCTGCTGACAGTTTTGTTATTTCTTTATCAGGGGACTGGTTTTTTTCACTGAAGTAAACTTCCACTTCAACGTGTCTAGGCTATCCCTGTTCTTTCTTAGAAATAAAGTACGGTGTCTGGTCCCTGTTTGTAATACTGGGGATACACAGACTGGCTCAAGTCACCTTTGTATTTTGATGGCTGATTATTTAAGAATACAAAACTGTAGTACAGACTTCATATTTTTGATACTTACATAGCAGAGACAAAATACCTGAGGACTTACTCTTGCACTGATGTGTTCTCTATCTGTAAGTCTTAGCGTAATTTGTGAGAAAGTAGAAATGTGATTTTGGGGGACGTTTTTAGTTGCACTGAATGTACCAAGAGAGAACAGTTTGTGTATACGAATAAATTTCCACAGTCACTAGACTGAACATAGCAGTTTGATGGTGAGGTTTTATAATCTGTTTTTACTGTCTTATGTTAGGTAAAAGTGCTTTATTTTAAATTCCAGTCACCTTTATTTCTTCCTCTAGAAGTCAAACTGAGCCAGTGAGTGGAACGTCAAAAGCAGTACGTAAAAATACAATCTCACACATTTTTCTACACAGTGCACTTGATTCTAAACAATGTAACCTTGTATTAAATTTCCAAACATTAACTTAATATATTTTCCAGTAAAACATAGTGTATGTTGTAAATATGATGTATTTGATTCAGCATGGTAAAAACTGAGTAATGCCATCATTTGCAGAGTTCTGATGTGACTGTTGGTATTTGTGCGTAGTGATGCATTGGATTTCAGATGGAATATGCTAGAATATTTCCTGTATGACTTTGTGTTGCACAGATAATGTGTGGTTGCTTTTAGATCATGTAGGTTCAAGGTTTGCACGGTTGAACATGGTGCCACGTTCTACATCTGTCTGCTTGTAGCTAGTTATATGCGTGTTTGTGTAGGTTGTTTTGTGCTTTCTGTTTCTTGCACTAAAAATTGTTTGGAGTGTATTTTTTGCCATTTTCACCTTCTTATATCACTTAGCTGTTGGTTTTAAACTCTTTTTTTGCCTCATGGTTTTTGATGATGTTCTCAAGAGCCACTGAGAAACCACTATTGTTAAATGCAGTACTGTTTCTCGCTTTTGGCTTCGGGGTTCAAACAAATACCAAACCAAACATATCCCATGTGTTCTGAGGACAGTTGTGTGCAGCTAAATGATTCCTTTTCATGTCCTGAAATACTTGGGTGCTTGTTCCTAAAACTGAATAACTGAAGTGACACTGTTGGGGACCCTCTGACTACATAAATGTCTTTAATAGATTGCCATGAATTTAAATATCGTTACTACACAAAGTGGTATTCTGAAGTTCTGCATTTCATCTTCCCACTTTATCTGGTGCTGCAGTTCAGTTTAATAGTTTGTCTGCAAATGGAAATACCTAAAACCCTGTGTGCAAACGTTGGCACGAGATTAGAGCCTGGTGCATCTGTGGGTAAATGCCCTGTCATTTTTCTTAACTTCTGCCTGCGGGACATTTTTGGATCTGGGTGACTTCAGGGCTGGATGCTGCTTTAATTTCCCAAAGGTTAAGCCTTCTGTTAGTATACCACCACTTTGAATTTACATTTGGAAAAGGGGCAGCCTTTTTCTTCAGGTGTGAAAACACTGTCATTTGGCTGCTAAAGTATAAATACCTAACACAAAGAAATACTCAACTGACAGTGGTCTAGATCTTGATCTGCCACTTGAGTCAAATGCTGTGTGTAACTACACATTTCAACATAGTCCTTAGACTGGTATAAAAATTACTCTGTAGAGACTCTTTATTTTTCACCTTTATTTTAAGTGTAACTGCTTTTTCTTCACTAGTATGGTGTAAGACACTGCACTAACCCTGGATTGTTTGATCTGATCATTTGACAAGGTCTCAGGATAACTTAATCTAGAATTTCATGAACTCTGGGTCTGTGTTCTATGAAGAATACAGCCTCTGATTCTTGGGGAATGGTACAGAATCAATTTAAGATTGAAAACTCTTTGCAGGGTACTTGGTCTAAATCTGAGATCCATAATTCTGTCACTGATTGGTTCAAATTCCTTCTTGGACATGAACGCCCCTCATTGTGAGTTTGAGTTAGTTGAACTGGCCCAGTGACCCCAGTAGTTAGTGTAATCCATTTATGTAAACCATGTTTATAGTATTTGATCTAATTTGGATGGGGTTTTATTTCTTGAAAAGCATTATTTTTCATTTACTAGCATGTGTATCAAGACAAATCACATGTTCATAATTAAGGTTAACATTCTTTTAGCCTTGTGTGTTCCCTGGCACATCTGTATTAATTTCTAAGCAGCATCGTACCATAAGCTAGCACAGATGTCTCCAAAAAAATTTTATTAAAAAAAAAAAAAATCCTGGAGTAGGAGGAAAGACTTAGTGTTTGAACTAGTTAAAATAAATGAAAGACAAAGCAAAAACATTCCCTTCTGGTTTGCTCTGACTGTTCCTGATTTGGGTTGTGGGTAGCTATAGGGAGAGTGGAAGCCTTGCCTCTCTCTTTACAAGTCCCCTTGCCTCTCTCTCTCTCTCTCGCTGTAAAATCACTGCAGCATCGGGTGCTTCTAGTGTTGGAGACACAATTAGACTTAGTCTTAAAGCTAACTCAGGTCTTGATCTGAACTGTGAGTTTTTAGGGGGGTTTTTTTGTTTGTTTTGTTAATACACATATTTCTGTATGTATTTCAAATATTTCAATATTTCAAAGCAAAACCTGGATCTTTGTGTGGTAAGACTAAAGCACGGGAAAGCTTACCAATTATTGTTAAGCAGTAAAGCAGCAAAATTAAAATTAGTTAAGAGTTTTTAAAAAGGATGCACAAAAGGTTCTACTTTAAATATTTCACAGAATCACAGAATGTTAGAGATTGGAAGGGACCTCGAAAGCTCATCCAGTCCCATCCCCCTGCCGGAGCAGGACACCCAGATCAGATCACACAGGAACGCATCCAGGCGGGCTTTGAATGTCTCCAGAGAAGGAGACTCCACACCCTCTCTGGGCAGCCTGTTCCAGTGCTCTGTCACCCTCACCGGGAAGAAGATTTTTCTCATATTCAAGTGGAACCTCCTATGTTCCAGCTTGAACCCATTGCCCCTTGTCCTGTCACTAGATGTCACAGAGAAGAGCCTGGCTCCATCCTCCTGACACCCTTCACGTATTTATAAACATTGATGAGGTCACCCCTCAGTCTCCTCTTTTCCAGGCTAAAGAGACCCAGCTCCCTCAGCCTTTCCTCAGCAGGGAGATGCTCCATTCCCTTCATCAGCTTTGTGGCTTTTGCGTTGTCTTTCTGCACTTCCAAATTTGTGCTGCTGTCCTACTGTTACTACAGCCAAAGCGAGAAAGTGGATCTTTTTTGGTTCAGTATTCCTATTTCAGTAACTGCAAGGATCTCAAGTTGGTCTTTGTCCTTAGAGGCTGCAGAAATGCAGAGATGCATGCCCATTGTTTTAGCACCGTCAGGCACAACTGTGATCCTTCCTGTCTGAACTTCTAGTTTAGCCAAGCTACTGGGTTTTAAGAAACCCCTGTAATTGAAATGTAGCACTCCAAGAGCGAGATTAGCCTTTTCCTCATATTTTCTGTCCCCCTTCCCACTTGATTTCTGTTAGTTTCTGTTTAGTCTTCTGTTTGAAATGGGAGTTAATACATTGACTGTCAATTCTATTTTTTTGGTTTGGTGGCTGGTTTTTTTGAGGGGTTTTTTTTTTTTGTTTTGTTTTGTTTTCCAGTTCTTCTGCAATATTATGTTAGGGTTGTATACAAATTTCATGGAGATCTTGTTTCTACTTGACAGATTGGAGGAACTGGCAAGAAATCTAAAGGAAAACAAAAAAGACATAAGAATGTAGGATCATTGGAAGATGGCCATTGGGCAAACGTACTAAACAGTACATTAGATATCTATTTGCTGCTTTTGGTAACTGTTTAGTAGTTCTCCTTTAGAAGTTAGCCTTCTTTAAGAAATTAGACTGTTACCTGCAGGCTGTGTATTAACTGCTTCCTAAAAAAATACAAGAGCTAATTAAAAGTTTATTAACTGTTGTGTTTCAGTTACTGGTCCATACTAGACTCCCACTGAGAGATTTCCTAATTTCTAGTTTGCTTCTGAAAGAAAGACCCCCAAATGATTGTGGCTGTGCCTGCCATGAGAGAACACGGGCCTATTTTTCCACATGTGAAAAAGAGTGGCACATAGAGCATGATGCTTCAAAATACTTGATCAGACTTCCTTTTTAACAGAATGTTCCAGAAAGAAGGACAGTAGAATTTTCTGGTAAGACTTGGAATGGAGAGACAGTCTCTTTTCCAGATCTGGGTATTCCTCTCCAAAGGCACATTTTCAAGAACTTTTGAGTAATGTTGTGTGTACTTTCCTAAACATATGAAGAAGGAATGATTCACTGGAGTGAGGAATCCTCAGCTTCATGTAGGTATTTTTTCCCCAGAGTCTGCTAAAATTGCTCCCTTGAATTCTTCCACTACATGAGGTAGTGAAGGACAAGATCTTTTTCCAGGGAAGGGTTTTAATCTCTCTTCTAATCAGTTTTGTGACCTCTTGAGGAGAGCTGTTCTGATTACACTGTGAAATTTTATTCCACGTTTTTGAAGAATTTAAAACATAATAAGCAGTTATTCGAGTGTCTTTCTGGTAATGTTTTACTGGTGTCAGCTTAACTGCTGCTTGTGGCATCATGTAATTCAGTATACTGGAAAAGGAACAAGACAGGAGTTACCCTTGTTACTTGTGGCAAAACTGCGCTTCAGCTTTAGTTCTCCCTAAACACTGCAGTTCATCGCTAACGCGTGGCTGGAGGACTTTATCCTGCAAGCTGCTCCAGTAGGCAGCTGGGAAGAAGGAGTGTGGCTGCAATGGAGAAAACAATTACAGGATTGTGCTCTGAATCCATGTCTTCATCATCATTAGAGATGGGTTTTGGTCTGATAGCAAGGAGAATAATATTAAATTCTCACACTTCCCAAACTAATTTGGATAGTATGGCCTGTGGTCTAATAAAATGCAAGAAATCAATTTTCTCAGTGTTCATAGGCTGCTCTGTCATGTTAAACACCTTGATTTCAATAATCTGAGCAGTTATTTTTTTTCTAGACAAGGCGGTACGTTACTTTTATGGCTGATGTTTTGGATCGGTGTTTTTAGTTGGGGTTTGTGGGGTATGGTGAGTTTGGCATTTTTAAACTTATTGGCAGGAGGGACAGAGCTGATACCCCTGTGCTTAATTTTGATAGGCAACTGCTGCTTTCATAAAAGCATAACTGTGGGAATTCATCAATGATGAGACATTAACTGATTAATTTGCAAATTACACTTTAAAACTAGGTTTCTTGTTGTGATGCTTCCTTCTCCATCTCAAATAAACTTCAATTTTTTAAAAATCCTTTTTCACGACAAATTGAAAGCTTCCTTACCTCTTTGACTTTTAAACAGTTGTGAGCATTTGACAAGGGTCCCTCTCTGAGATATTCTGGAGCAAGAAGTTGATCTGAGGAGGGTTTGATTATTTTAGTTTCTTCTCATTAACCACGTGGTCACGCTTAAGCTGTCATGGGTTGGGACTTTATTTTGAACAAATACAACTGACACTCGGTTGAAAGTGCTTCTTTCAGTGACACTCAGAGGATATAGTGCGCACTTTCAGACTGTAGTAGAGGTTAACTAGTGCTGTGTTTTGATTGTAGAAGTTGAATATATGCTTAATGTTTTGTGAACAGATTGGTGACCCTTCTGCATCTATTCCTCTGGCCCAGCTTATTAAGGTACATATACATATTTTCTTGTCAAATGCTTAAAAAAAAAAAGCTTTGCTTCATATTTTTAAATCTTACACTGTGATGTATAGCTGGATAACTCTTGTAATGTGAACAAAACATTAATTTTTAATAATTTAAAGTGTTGATTTTGACTTTAAAATTTGTGTGTATTTTGATACTATCATGTAAAGAGTAGTTCCCAGTTTGGGAAGATAGCAGGGGAGTACCTTATCAGCCTCAACGTAATGTTGCGATATCACTCATCTTCAAGACACAAAGCAGAAGCACTTCAGAACCTGTTTACTACCATTTTTCATACATTTTGTTAATTTTGCATTGGAAACTAACACTATTTTCACAGAAGAATTTAATTGGCTGCAAGTTATGGACGTTTGTAACAGCTAAAATACAAAATGTTTCTGGAACATGAACAATTGCATGGCTATTTTTGAATTTCTGGTCATTATAGTTATCGATCTGTTCTTTGCATGCTGCACAATTTCACAAGTTGTACTATATGTACAGTGGACAACACAATCTCATTTGTTTGAACGCCGACTGTGTGAATTGTGTAAGTACCTAGTTGTTTGTAGGAATATACCAATATGTACATGTGGCATATTAGCAGATTTGACCTCCTGAAACTGTCCTAATGCCATGTTTTGGTACAGAATTGCTTTCTTTTTATCTCAACAATGTGTAACTTTGTCTGCGAAAGCGCTAGTGATTGCCTTTTGTGAAAAGGCGTGGTGCTAGCCAATGGAATTTCCAGTCTTTAGAGTTACAAAGGTTAGAGAAGGCAGGGCCTGATGCAGAGGAGCGGGTTCTTTCTTCTGAAAAGAAAGGTGGGAGTTCATTTCCGAGACAGAGAAATCTCTTCCCTCTGGTAACTTCTTCCCCCTCTCACTGCAGAAATTAAAACATATATATTTGGCAGGGGAAAAAAAAATGTTTGGGAAGGCGGCCAGCCAAATAAATTGGTTTCCATTAGTGCTGTCCCTTAACGTGTCCTTGGTTCTGTAAGCTCATGTGAAGTGTTACTCTAAAATGTGAAAAACTGTCCAAGTGGTGTACACATTTAAGCTTTGGAGAAAAATTAATTATTTCATAAAAATACAGGAACACAACATAAAGCAGCTCTAAACTGTTTCTTACTCTAACCTCTTTAGTGCAGACTTGCTTGGCACAGGGACAATGTGCCAGCAGTTTTCTATTTTATTATTACTATGTATGAAATGCCATATTTGAATTTTGGTGTATTCCTAGTCATGGTTTGTGGTTTTTGGAGGTGTTTCGTAAACCGTTCGGGTTCAAACAAATGAGCCAAGTATCTGTAAAGTTTTCTATAAATGTTATTGGAAATTATTTCATAGATGTCAGTCAAGATTATGTTACTGTTGAGAAAAACTGCATCTATGAAACAACCTTTTAATGAAATGTTGAAACTAGTTGGTTGCTTTTGTGAATGGATGCATATAAAAACAAAAGCATTAGTAGTTGATCTGAATGATAGGTGCTTGAAAGTCCAAAGAGTTTACAGTCACTCTCTTAAACCCCGCTTGTATCTGGACTAGCGTGTAATAACAACATTTGAACAAACACTACTTAAAAAAAAATCAGCTGGCTTCAATGATTTGAAGGTCTGATTCCGCATAAGGTTTCTGTAACAATTTGTATGTTGAAAGCACACAGTCAACTGGAAAAAGCTGCAGGGTTTGCTTGCTGTAGTTAAATCCCTTAATATGTAGAAGTTAATAGGGGAGACATGCAGTTGGAACCGCCTACAGCATGTGATGGTCAAATTTTTACTGCAAATAATCTTTTATCTTGCTGAGGGATTATAAAACACTTAAGTCCTTTTAGTGCTTCTGTGGCTGAAGCTGAATTTCAGCAAACAAAGCCAATTCCCTGAATCATGTGTGTGCTTTTAATGCTGCAAAATATGAATAATGATACTTGCATCCATCTCTCTCAATTAAATGTACAGAAGATATCTTCCCCTTCAAATAGTCTGGAGCTGAAAAATCAGTTGAAAAATACTGGATAGTATTATTTTTTCTACACATAGCTTCAGTCTACTTGAAAGAAAACGGGATTGGTTATGCAAATCTTTATGTAAGGTACAAACGGAGCCTAAGGTTTTGAGTGCCCGAGAATGCTCTTTTCAAGTAGGTTAACAGGCACAGGAACACCACATAATGATATAAGGACTCCCCAGAACATCTTGAGGACAACTGTATTTTATATAAGCAGCTGTTCTCATGCAACCTATGTAGTGTTGTGCTGCTCTGTACAGGATTGGGTGAGTGGTCTTGTCTTTGGCTGTGTGGGCTTAAATGTGTTTCTAATGTGTGTTACCTACTAAACAGACGGCCAGTCTGGCTGAAGCCAATGCTTCTGAAGAAGATAAAATAAAAGCTATGATGACACAGTCTTGCCATGAATATGATCCAATCAAGTAAGTGCTGATCATGTCAAACCTGCTCTTTCAAGGTTATGGAAAAATTGTAGAGATGCTTGTTTTAACAAAAGACTCACACACATGCCTTTTTCTCTTTTTTCACCAATACTTCTAGTTACATGAAGAAACCCTTGGGTCCACCTCCACTGTCACATACTTGCTTTCATTGCGGAGGGCTTGGCCATTATAAAAAGAACTGCCCAGAAAATAGGGTAAGATTGTGGGGGACTTCTGGCGTTACCTAGGTTTTCATTTTTTTACCTTGGCAGAGACATAACAAATACGTGAATTAATACTTGTATTAAGAGTTGTTACTCTTGGGGTGAAATACAGAGATTCTGCGGCGATGTTGCAAAGCCCCTCAAAATTCAAGGGGAAGATGGAATTATAAATGAAACTTTTCTTCTTTCTAGGTCTTAGACATTATCTACGTCCATAGATCTTTCTCTGTGAACTTTCATCCATATTTTAATATATTTCAATGTTATTGGAAAGTTTTCTGGTTTAAACCCTTTTTAATGACAGTTCACGGTTTTTAGTATTTTGTGTAAAGCTAAGGTGTTTCTGTTGACCCCATCTATTCAGTATTTGTGTGTGTGAACAACACAATCCTCTGATTGAGTATTTATGCCACTTAACATTAGTCACTGAATGAATATGTATGAGGTATGAATTCAACCTTTGTCTGGAGATGGCAAATCTGAGTTTCTCCAGTGACTGATTCAGAGCACCAAATTAAGCTCTCCCTCTGAATTATGCTTTGGAGGAGGAGCAGGCTTGTGTCTCTTCTCTGAGTGGGTGGCGAGCTGAGGGATATTTCACCCTTAAGGAACCTGACGTTAAGCCAAAGAATGTCAAATGAGTTCAAAACACTGCTCAAGCCTTTGGAACATCTTGGCTGTATTCATTTAGGAAAACAAGTATTTAAGTTGAGCAGCCCTTAAGCTAGGTAAGAGGATTGAAGGCTTTTGCTGCTTACAATAGTCACTGAAATGTCATTTTGAGTGTGGGTCTTAAGAGATATGTCTGCATTGCTTTTCTTAACAGGACAAAAATTTTGAGTCTGTTCCTAGAATTAAAAAGAGCACAGGGATCCCAATGAGTTTCATGATGGAGGTGAAAGATCCCAGTACAAAGGGTGCTATGCTGACAAACTCTGGGAAATATGCCATACCAACTATTAATGCGTAAGTGTGGAATTAATTGGACTGACCAAAAAGTGAAAGAGAGAAACTACACGTAGATGTCTGAGTGGCAATGCCACCAGGTTGCCGAGCATCTGTAATTACGAGGGACAAAGCATTATTACAGTATCTCAACCCTAAAATCTGTGACAATTTCTATTATTAAACTATGGTGGACCTACTGTTCATGCCCCTGGAAGCTGGCGAATCATGTGGTGTGCTAAGAATCTGTATTTCTGCAAAACAGTTCAATCATGTTTACAGTTGGAGTTGTTTTCTTTGAAAGCTTGTTTTGCTTCTGTTCTATGTCTCAAAGGCTTCTTCCAAAATTTAGTAAATAGCAGTTGAACTGAGATTTCCTCCCCCGCTGACTTTTATCAAATCTCATGCATGAAACAGACTGAAGTTTCCCTGTTGCTATAAACTGGGAGAATACTACTGTGTGCTGACAAGTGTGGCTGTTTTAAAAAGGAGTTGGTAGCATTTGTGGTTTTCTGCCATGGATCTCCTTTTGTACAAGCTGTAACAGAGACTTCTTTGATTTATAAAATGTAATTACTCAGAGGGTAACTTTATCCTGAGCCTGCAATTTACGTTTACCCTCTGTCAAAGGAGAGGTGGGGTTCATTTCACCTGATTTCTATCTGTCCAAAAAAAAAAAGATGTTTCTAGTATGAGTAAAATTTGTAGTTGCTCCACTGAATGGGACTGTTCTGCAGAACAAAAATTGTTTCCCCCTCCCTCTTCTGGTGTTGTGTCTATAGAAGAGCAGTTTAAACTAAATGCCTAAGCTTTAGAAGGCTAATGTGGAGTGGGAAGAATTCCATCTACTATCTCCCCTTGATAAAATCCAAAGCTTGGAAAATATTTCCTTCACTCATCTTTAATTTTTTTTATTTTTCCTTTCTCACCTTCCCCCTCACGGCCCCCCCCTCCAGGGAAGCTTACTCTAGAGGAAAGAAGGAAAAGCCTCCTTTTTTGCCAGAGGAGCCGTCCTCCTCCTCCTCAGATGATTCTATTCCAGAGGAGTTGTTATGTCCCATTTGTAAAGATATAATGACGGATGCAGTTCTTATTCCCTGCTGTGGAAACAGTTATTGTGACGAATGTAAGTGCTACTCCCATGTTTGTTAATTCAAAGCATCACATCTGATCTTCTGAAAGCAGAAATAGAAGACAATTAAATTCCTTCGTTACCATTTCTATTTAATACTGAAGTGTGCACTGAATAGGAAAGGGCTCTTCTCATACAGAGAAAAAAAGGCAGAAACATGTGGAAGGATGAGTATGAGAAGAGTGCATAATTGTGCAGGTGATTACAGTGTTAGATATCAAATGCATTTAGTTTGTCCACATCCCTTTCTCTCATCCAAAATTATAGAACCAGCTCTGGTGGCTTACTGTGCTCTACAGCAAAGGGGTAGCTGGACATTTAATCCACGTCCTTCTCCCTGGGACCGTTGGTTAAAACCTTCAGAACTCAAACCTTCTATCTAATGCTTTTTTGAGATGTGTTTTATTCATTAACCTTGAGGTTGGTGACTTCTCACTGTACTAGATTGTGGAAAAAAGACTAGTTGAAAAAGCAAGGACACAGCCCACCCTACATCTTCAGATGTTACAATAGTGAAATACCAAACCTGTATAGTTATTTGCTGCATTCTAGAAAATTTTTGCACTTGTTTTGTCAATTGGCGCGATTAGGACAAAGGACACAGGCACCAAATTAAAGAAGTAAGCTTATTTTTACTTATGTTTAAAGAGATAAAATAATGAGGAAAATAATACAATGAAAAAAAACATTGAAGCAAGATAAAGTAAAGCAGCAAAATGATAAGCGAACTACTATAGCAAGCATAGAATAAGGTAATGCACCTAATCATTACTACATAGAGTTAGCGATAGTGATTAAGAAAGATACATCACCAATTGCCTTAATCATAAGTTACCATCATCCAGATCTGCAGTCGCTGGGGAGCCAGGTTGCAGCGAGGATTTGGAGAACCCTTCCCAGCAATTGGGAAATTTCTATACAGTGCGTGCACTGTATAGATGAGGCTTCCAAATTTCCCTGCAAATGTTCCTTGCTTTTATACAGTTGAAGAAACAACTTTACATCTCAAACTGTGAAAAAACATCTGGTGTGGCTTTCCCCTTGGCAACTTTCGTCTCGAGTCTGGCCAGGAGTCGAGAGGGAAGTTAAAAAAGGGTAAATGTATCTGGTAGTCCTGACTATGTGTCTCCCAGCAAAGCCTGTCATGGGCCTGCCACATCCTTTTGCCACACATCCTTTTACGCCTGTGGTTGCGATAGGCATATCTGGTTTTCAGTTGCGATAGGCGTATCTGGTTTTTAGTGGCAACAGGCATATCTGGTTTTGACAAATGAAGCTGCTGTTTCACAATTAGCATTTTTCTGCTGACTTACACAGCAAGCATTACAGCAATGCTCTATAAGTATTACAACAAAGCTTTCCTAAATCGGCATGTATTCATAAGGTAATACATTGCATATGTTATCAATACGATACATATTAGGTATGTTGTTAGGTTTGAGGTTCAACTAGAGGTCAACTGTGGTTCAGGGCCTCACTGCTCAGGCCCTAGTATTTCAATACTGTTGAACATTTATAGCTTCAAGCTCACGACTCAAGACCGTATTCACCCATGAATCGTGTACGTGTTTTTATAATTGATTAGAACCCCAAAATTTTTTGTAGTTTGGCTAAGAACTATTTTGATTATTCTAATTATTCACAGGTATTAGAACAGCATTACTGGAATCTGAGGAACATACATGCCCAACATGTCATCAAACAGATGTTTCTCCCGATGCTTTAATTGCCAACAAGTTCCTACGCCAGGTAACATGATGACTTTTACATAAACTGTTCATAAGAAAAGCCTATTTCTAAAAAGCTGAAAGGGAAGAAAATATTAATTGACATCTCCTTAAGCAAGGCTAAATTGAATAAGCCTAAATGTACTTCTCAAATACATTATCTGTTCTTACAGAAGCTTACAACTCTTTAGATAAAGACAATCTGGCAAATTCAGTTCACACTTTTGTTTAACATGATTGCCTCACGTTCAAATTTGGTGTTAACACTGAAGTACTTTAAATACAGATACTCTGAGATACCAGTCATTAGCATCAGTGCTTAATGCGATGTGTTCATATATCTGTATGTTGGTCACAACAACCCCCTGCAACGCTA